TCTTGGGCCTAAGGCTGCCAAGAAGCCGTTGAAGAAGACTGCATAAAGAAAGACGCCGTGCATCGCTACGGAAGCCTCGATCGAGCCACTAAGGCCGTCGCCTCTAAATACAGGGTGCTCACCGCGTAACGCGGGTTTCGAAAGCAGTTCATTGTGCCGAAGACAGTGTGCCGAAAGATGTATGTTCGGCGTGATTTTAACAATACTTTTTTTCTTTTTTGTTTTATTGCGTATCATAAGAATAATAGATGATGAATCTCAGGGTTTTAATTTTTAGGGGGGGTTTAATTTTTAAAAATTACACATATATATATATATATAATATCTGTATATAAAATATATTTAATTTTTTTTAAATTGAAAATGAAGAAATTTGAATATTTCTTTATATCATAGTTTTTGTTATTTTTCGAAAATATAATAGAGTTTAATATATTGTATTTCTTAATAATCATTTATCAATTATAAACTCCTCGGTAATTCTCGAAGAGTTGGCGGTTCGTATTCCGAATAAAATTCAGGGCAGTAACAATCTTTCGTGACGAAGGGAGACGATATCGAGCGTAGCGAATGAACGGAAGGAGGACAACAACACAACAGACCAGTCCGACCAGCTGATGAGCCGGTTCTCCGATATACTTTGTTTCGTTTTATTTTCTTCCTCGGTACCCTTTTTATTGCTAAGGTTCTGGTCCGAGAGAGACCTCGATCTCCTCCAGTATATTTATACCCGACTCTCACTGGTCCCTCCTCCTGATCTCTCGCTGTGGCATATATATGTATATCCCCCCAGTTCCGAATTTAAGGGCCTCAAGTCCTTGCGTACGGTATACCCCGCAGGAGGCTGCGTATACACGCGTCTCGGTTTAACGAGCTTTTTATATATTTTCAAGTGGACGACAATCAAGCCTCGTCGTGCGCCTCGCGCGTGACGTGGAAGGAAATGTATCGCCGTGATGCGATAAAGCGTCCGTAATATTTCAGCAGCGTTCCTGCTTATAATAACGTCGAGATATATCGCCATGTATTTATGGAAATTACAAAAATTATTCTGACTTTTTTGCATTAACAGTTTTGTTCGCGAATCTGTGGAACATGCCGAACCGTATTTCATATGTAATATTTATTTAATTATTTAACATAATTATTTAACATAAAACAGATTAACATTTACATCTTCCCGCTGATTATAAAGCGACATAAATTAAATGTTGACGTGCGTGCGTGGTGCATTTATTTATATTATTTATATTTATATTACAGCTCAAGGAAATCAAGCTATCCCGATTATACGAGAACTGCAAAATAAATTTCATTAAATGTAGATATACATACATACATACATACATACATACATACATACATACATACATACATACATACATACATACATACATACATACATACATACATACATACATACATACATACATA